CGTATTGGTCTCGGATATGTATGGACAATTTATTATGAGATGCTCAACTGACATTTTGACCAGAAATTGTTTCATTGGCTTTGACGAACGATTCCAACATTCCATTTTTATTTAAATTAAATATACGCACTACAAAATGCGGTTGATTTCGAATTGTCGATAATAGAACAGCTGGTCAACACGCAGTTCAAATGCTGTCGAACAAAAAAGGGGTTGCGAAAATAGTCACACGCACCCGAGTAGTTTGGAGCGTTGTAAAAACGCTTTCAAACTGGTTTGAACAATTGGGGTTATTCCGAGAGACGAAGTGATTTTTGTCACTAGTGAAGTGAAAAAAAGTCACGTCGTGGTGACGTGACTCTCCATTTGATTTGCGCAGAGAGTCACGCATGCTTGGCATGCACAGTTGTACACACCAACTGCTCATTTGGAAATAACTTTTCACTCAGATGTTGAAATTTATTTGTCTTTAAAGTAATTGATAGATTAGGCTCATAGTTTACTATAGATATGCGAAGATTAGGTAAAGCTTAACATTTGAATCAACACTAATCAATTTAACACTTAAATTCCGAGATATGTAGATTGACGAGAATACGTAAATTCCCCTACCTGACTTGTAAAGGTTTTGTGTCCTGGAACAGTCTGTTCCAGTTAGTATTTGGTCGCTTCTTATTAATTACTGTAGTTGTCGTAGCGAAGATCAACCGCCACAACACTGAGCGCGTTGCCGAGAGGGCGGCACGCCGTGTGAATGCGCAAGTTTAAGGTTTGAAGACGGCGTTTTGATCTGCAAGGATTATTTATTCAGTGGTGAAAATTTCTTCAGGATTCATACAAAGTTATCGAATATGGAACGCGAGAAACGTGAACAAATTATGCACACTCACGTCAAAATCACGATGAAACATTGGACAAAATCCGGATAAAAATTTACCTCCGGGTAAGTTCAAATTTGTCTTTACGGATAAATTCGGTCGCAAGTTACTGATTTGGCAAGGCATCTACAGTTTTGAAAAGAAAACAAATATTTTCATCACTGGAGCGACTTTGAATGGATAACTTTACAAAGAGGAATGTCTTTCTCTCTCTCTCTATCTGCAGTGCTGTTAATTTTCATATCATTCGATTGAAGATGAACCATACATACATACATTTATTTGTACAACATCACATTTAAGATAAGACATAATCAACAATAGTACGCCACAATACTCGGTTTGCGGCTGCCGCTCTCCATCCTCGGTCATGCCCAAATGCTCGCTAGATCGCGCTCTACCTGGTCCGCCCATCGTGCTCTCTGCGCTCCACGCCTTCTTGTGCCAACCGGATCAGTAGCGAACACCAACTTTGCAGAGTTGTTGTCCGGCATTCTTGCAACATGCCCTGCCCACCGCATCCTTCCGGCTTTGACCACCTTCTGGATGCTGGGTTCGCCGTAGAGTGCAGCGAGCTCGTGGTTCATTCTTCGCCGCCACTCACCGTTCTCCTGCACACCGCCGAAGATCGTCCTTAGCACACGTCGCTCGAAAACTCCGAGTGCTTGCAGGTCCTCCTCGAGCATAGTCCATGTCTCGTTTCCATAGAGGACCACCGGTCTTATTAGCGTTCTGTACATGGACCATTTGGTGCGGGGGTGAATCTTTTTTGACCGTAGTTTCTTCTGCAGCCCGTAGCAGGCACGACTTCCACTGATGATGCGCCTTCGTGTTTCACGACTCACATTGTTGTCAGCCGTCATTAAGGATCCAAGGTAAACGAATTCCTCCACTACCTCGAAAGTATCCCCGTCTATCGTGACATTACTTCCTAGACGAATCCTGTCATGTTCGGTTCCGCCTACTAGCATGTACTTTGTTTTTGACGTACTCACCACCAGTCAGACCTTTGCTGCTTCGTGTTTCAGGCGGGTGTATGGTTCTGCCACCGTTCCAAATGTTCTTGCGATAATGTCCATGTCGTCCGCAAAGCACACAAATTGACCGGATTTCGTGAAAATCGTACCCCGGCTGTTGAACCCGGCTCGTCGCATTACACCTTCTAGAGCAATGTTGAAGAGTAGGCATGAGAGTCCGTCACCTTGTCGCAGTCCTTGGCGAGATTCGAATGAACTGGATAGTTCACCCGAAACCCTTACGCAGTTTTGCACACCGTCCATCGTTGCTTTGATCAGTCTGATCAGCTTCCCAGGAAAGCCGTTCTCGTCCATGATTTTCCATAGCTCTGTGCGGTCGATACTGTCGTATGCCGCCTTAAAGTCGATGAACAAATGATGCGTTGGGACCTGGTATTCACGGCATTTCTGGATGATTTGCCGTACGGTGAAGATCTGGTCCGTTGTCGGTCGACCGTCAATGAAGCCGGCTTGATAACTTCCCACGAACTCGGTCATTTTAGGTGATAGACGACGGAAGATGATCTGGGATAGCACTTTGTAGGCGGCATTCAAAATAGTGATCGCTCTGAAGTTCTCACATTCCAAATGGTCGCCTTTCTTGTGAATGGGGCAAATTACCCCCCCCCCCCCTTCCACTCCTCCGATAGTTGTTCTGTTTCCCAGATCCTGACTATCATCCGGTGCAGGCAGGTGGCCAACTTTTCTGGGCCCATCTTGATGAGTTCGGCTGCGATACCATCCTTACCAGCTGCTTTGTTGTTTTTGAGCTGCTGAATGGAGTCCTTAACTTCCCTCAGCGTGGGAGTTGGGTCAGTTCTGTCCTCTGCTGCACTGACGTAGTCGTTTCTTCCATTGCGCTGGTCTCCCGTGCCTACGTTCTCCTCGCCATTCAGGTGCGCATCGAAGTGCTGCTTCCACCTTTCAATCACCTCACGTCCGTCCGTCAAGAGGCTCCCGTCCTTATCCTTGCACATTTCGGCTCGCGGCACGAAGCCGTTGCGGGATGCGTTGAGCTTCTGGTAGAACTTCCATGTTTCTTGGGAACGGCACAGCTGTTCCATTTCCTCGCACTACGCTTCTTCCAGGCGGCGTTTTTTCTCCAGAAAGATGCGGGTCTGCTGTTTCCGCTTCTGTTTATACCGTTCCACGTTCTGTCGGGTTCCATGCTGCAGCATTACCGCCCGCGCTGCGTTCTTCTCCTCCAAAATCGCTCTGCACTCCTCGTCGAACCATTCATTCCGTCGACTTCTTTCCACGTACCCGATGGTGCTCTCGGCTGCGTCGGTGATGGCTGCTTTTACTGTACTCCAGCAGTCCTCTAGGGAGGGCACATCGAGCTCGCCCTCCTCTGGCAACGCTGCCTCGAGATTCTGCACGTATGCTAAGGCGACATCCGGTTGCTTCAGTCGCTCTAGGTTGTACAGTGGCGGGCGTCGGTACCGTACATTGTTGATGACGGAAAGTTTTGGGCGCAGGTAGTGGTCAGGTAGTGGTCAGAGTCGATGTTAGCGCCACGATAGGTCCTGACGTCGATAATGTCGGAGAAGTGCCAATGAACCAATACAATCATTCAATCAATTCTGCGAAAACGAATACTCACATGACCATAATTTGAAGAGCCCCTTTCTCATTCGAAGCTCATCGTCACTGTCAATTGAGTCACTCACTATCATTTGATATATACGGCAGTGGAATATGGAAGAAACCCAGAAAAATGGGCCCGAACAGACAAGTCGACCCGATTTCAGATCAATGGAAGGTAAATTTAAGGTCGATATCAACCCAATGTCGTGCTGTTGTCTGGTCAATTTTGGGTTTATGTCGGGTCAACATCGGGTTAGGGTTTGGTAGAAGTCAGGTTGGTGTCGGGTTGGCTTAACTTTTACGTCGGAATGTCGACCAGAGCTCCGTTTATGTGTAGGTTACCGTCAATTGAATGATATCAGGCGTTTCTCAAATCAAAATGATCCATGCCTTCGTCAAATGACTAAGCAACTGATACCATACATTCGAAGGAGGTCCCCGTTGATAGCGGATAGCTGCTTTTATCATTTTCATCAAAAATGTTCAACTGATTTTGAGAATTTACAGCACTGGTCTCTAGAAGAGAATTTCGCCATTTATTCAGTCACACGAAGGTCTCGTAAAGTTCTGGCCCGACTTAGCAAACTGCCATTGCAGCAGGGATGTCACTGAATGGTATAAGCTGAATAATGTCGATTTTATTGAAAAAATATCAATCCACCAAATTGTCCAGATTTTCGTGACATTGAAAAATTTTTGGCCAATTATTAAGCGTAAATTGAAGAAATGTAGCAAATCAATCAAAACACCATCTTATTTGGACAAGTGATGGAAAAAGTTGGCAGTACGAAAAGTTCAAAAATTCATCCGAAAAGCTGACGAATAATTATTCTTGTATTTTTCCCTTAAAGCTAAATAAAAAATCTACAATCTGAAACCCTGTGTGATTTTGTAAGTTATTTCCTCTTGGTTTTTTTCTGCCGCCAAATTCTAAATGGAACAGACTTTAGGACTTGATAAAACAAATTAAGATTCAGCATAAGAATCCTGTGTTTGACCAAAATTCATGGAACTCAGAAACTCAGGGGGACTGACAAAGTGCAATTAAAACAAAAACTACAGTTTGCAATTGCAGAATGAATACATTTCTGAATCATAAGTTGAATTTTGAAAAATCCTGGACCATCTGAGAAGTACCTATTTGACAGTGCAGAAGAGACACAGCAGAGCATAACAAATCTACGCTTATAGCCCCGTTAAGATGACGTTCTTTTTCTGAGCCCTTTTTTGGCACGGAGATCCTTGATCGTAGTAGCAAAATAGCAACTGATAAATGCTATTAAATACTATTTTTACGGCAACAATCTATAAATAGATTGGATAATTTTAAAACCATTCATCCATTCAATTTTCGTTCAAATTAAATCCGATCCCTTTACAACTCGAGCAATTGAGATTGTGTTTGGTACATGTATCGAGTACTCGTACAATCCCTCTATCTTCCACCCTCGATAGTCTCTTATAGGAAAACCGAGTCAGGCTAATTAGAGGCATTCCAACGCCTTCTGATGATACTCACGTTGAACGGATGTGAATTCTGCCGGCAGATGAGCACCGCCTTTGCTAGCCCCGGCAGGCCGTTGTTGTTGTTGCTGTTGTTGTTATTGTTGTTTATGCTGACGCCGTTGCCGTTGTTGCCGAGATTGATACTGTTATTGATCAGCAGTGAGTTGTTGTTATTGTTGTTCAGCTGTTGGTTCTGCTGCTGCTGCTGTTGCTGTAGTTGCTGTGACTGTACCAGCGTGTCGCGGGTCAGTGTCGTCGTCGAAGAATTGTTGTTGCTCACTACAGGAGTTTGCATTCTTACTCCTGGCGCTTTCAGGATGGATAAATACTCATATCTATTATTTATAATCACCATGACCTGTGTGGGGGGAGAAGATAATAGAAAGTTGATTAGAAAGGTGCCTGGTGTCTATTAATTAATGCAAGTGTCGACAGATAGTGCGAAGACCATGGTGAAGATCAATTTACCTCTCGAGGAAACACTACAAAACACAGAAACAGGTAAGGAAGCTTCGCAAGATTCGATCCAGTTCAGTTGCCACAAACTGCTGCTCATGGTAACCGAACCCAAACACCTGAAGCGGAGTGATTGCATACAGACGGTTTACAAGGTGTACACAGCAATAACTGGTCGTTGTAGATCATTCATTTTGCATAAAATCTCTTAGGCCTTAAGATTAATTAGCAGAATGTTTACATTTGCACTCTAAATACTAGCACTTGTCATTAATACAAAATACAAAAGTAGCAATTGAAACCCACATTTTGCTGTGCACACTCCGCTCACCCTTTTCGTCTGTTTACATGTAGTGTTATAGAGCTTCTGCCAAGCATTCCACAGAGCGGGTGGAAGATACATTGATCTACTCGCCAGATCAATTAATTCGCCAGGCCGAAACGTGTTTAATTCAATGTGTAATAATTTTCCGCAAGCCAAATACGAGAGCCAAATAAAATTTTACGACCTATCGAGAGAGCGAGACTCGAGAGTAGGATGTTTTTTAATCAAGCTGGATGGTTGCATTCGAAATTCGAATGTCTTGTTCCGTACGTCGTGGTCGTTGAAACGGACTCAAATGAGAGGGAGAGAAAGAGAAAGAGTTAATACACGCCAACGCCAATAAGCAGGTCGACTGTGAGTAAAAATAAAACAGCGCAAAAATATATAGGCTAGTGGTTACCCACATGATGAAAATGAAAACAACAGGCTACAGACGGAAATGGTTAAAAGCTTTCAATGTTGTTTTGGAACAGGCTGCAACCCAAAATGTCATGACAGGTATTCTGGAATCCATTGCAATAGTCAGGAACTCTACTCTAACGCGTGGTGGTTGCATCAACAAGGCCATAGATGCTTCCCGTCATGTTCAGTTGTTCCGGTAGGTGGAGTGACGTAATCGATACTATCCGAGTAAATACGAAAATTAAACAAATACAAACTATGTTGACGAACATGTAGGTACATCAGCTGGACGACGGTTGCATGTGAGAAGTGGTGAAAGAACGTAGAAAATTGCAGTTCGGTTGCACTCAAAGCAGCGGACTGATATGACTTAAGGTTCAATTTACTTTGATGCTTTTTCGAAAAGTTCAAGAGCAGTTTTTTTCGACGCATTAGTCCAGATTGCAAAATGCTCGCACTATTCGATTCCTTTTGCTATTCTACACAAAATGACGCGAGCTTTTAGCAATCTGAAAGAATGCGTCGAAAAAAACTGCTTTTGAATTTTTCGAAAATGCATCAAAGTAAATTGAACCTTAAACAGAATGAGACAAGGCAAGAGTGCGCTTAATATGGCCGATGAACTTCATTCGAGGCTACAGGTAATTGCAATTAAACAAATTTCCTGTTTTTGATTACATCGTGCTTTACAAATGAATTTTGAACATTTCTAATTAGAGCTGGAATTAGGGCGTAACAGCTTTTGTAAACAATGACTTCTCTCGGTGATTTCTCGAAAGCCATTGCTCTCGCTGGCAAATCGACATTGTTGGGTTGTTTATTTGATTCATTGGGTTGTTGAGGGGTATGGAGGTAAATACATATTCGTAATCTGCATTAAAATGGAACCGAGATCCAAAATTTCAAAAATTTTCAATAAGTGCGATTAAATTAACCAAAAATCACCATTTTAGCGCCCTTCGGTGGAACTTGATATGGGAGCGAACTGTCAACTAATAGATTTAGTGACAAAAATTAAAAATTTAAATCTTGATTTAAAAATTAAGATGACTGTCTATGGGATCGATAAAAATATTATTGTGTTCAATTAAATATAAACAACCCAAACTGCATTGCAGACGTTAGCGACGGTTAGCAATTAACAGCCCTTATCGGACCAAATTGCAATAATCGTGATACGTTCACAAGCAGAGCTGGAAAGCACCTCAGAGCGTAAGCAAAGCAACTTTGTGTATGCATCTCACAACACTCGACAAAGAGTGTGCAGTTCACCCATTTACTTCGCACACTTTTTTCCAACTAATCTGTGAGAAAGCGATCTACACAATGAGAGGTACACTCCGAGTGGCGCAGGCAGCGAATATTATAAAACAAGCGGCATAGCAAAGAAGAATTTTATCTTTTTGCTGTGTTTCCCATTTGCAACCCTACACTGAGTGGCGCTCTTTGGGTCGGAGTCATCGGAGCGATGGCTACACATTGAGCTTTCGTTATTTCTGGGTGTGTGTCTGTCTTCTCTTCTCCGCTACTTTACACTTGCGCAGGGTGAAAAACAAGCCAACTTTGTGTTTACTTGATTCTCACTTTGTATATTTCAGAAAATCAGTACATTGCGCGCATTGAGAGATCAAATGACAGCCCTGATCACAAGGATAAGAATGGTTGATGATTGTAAAAGAAATTATTAAGTTTCACTTACATTGCTTGTTGTAATTTTCCAAATGATAAAATAATTTGATATGTGGTTGCCATGACAATGCTTATCCTGTGTTGTAATGAAATTGGTGCTGTTTTCTTACACAATTTCATCTGTCAATCTAACATATTTTGTAATTTTTTCGCACTTCTATTTTGTGATCTATTGATATGCTGTAAAACTGACAGGCTTTTTGTTCATTGTCGTAAAAAAAACATATTAAATTTTGTCGGGAATGTCGGCCTAAATGCTCTTAATTTGGGCCCCTACATAAATTCAACAATCGACTAAATTTTCAATAGCGATCAAAAATATCCATTAGTACCGTCCCAATGACGCGTTCATCTAGATAAAATTGATAAATAGCAGATTTGTAGCGATGGGCCCAATCTTAGATCCATAGGCCAACATTAGAGCCATTTCCCCTATATATGATTTTCAAAATTCTTCCATAGTAATTCCCATACAAATCAGTGTTCACTCGGCTGTCAACAAAAGCAGGCCACTCTCGATGTGTGCTACGCGATCGTCTGTTTACTCGGCAGCAACCATTGTGTGGTCCTCCTCATTGTTCTTCATCAGCAGTTCTTTCGGTCGATGCGTCGTCGACTTTGGAAAGCAACCGTTTCGTGATGAGTGTGTGAGTGCTGACCACATTTTGCGTCCATTGCTGCAATGGACGCGCTCTGACCCTCGTTGGCGTACAACAATTTGCCATACAATGAAACTACTGGAAGCGACTCCAGTTCTGATGGAGGAGGCTTTTTGGATAGCGGAAGATAAAGTGTTTATTGTGTTGTACCTTTTGACTATAGCTTTAAGGGGAAGCTCACCGCTTCGAAAAAAATAATTACGTTTTGATTTTTCTAAAAATATTGAAAAAAATTATCAAAAATCTAAAAAAATCACATTTTTTCTAATTTTTTAAAGAAAATTCACGTGCAAAAACATGTTTTATAAGTCATTATGGCATAAAGTTGGACTCAAAAAACCACAAAACATCAACTTTTCGGTTTTTCTGAGAGTCCAATTTTTTTCATGATGGGATAGAAAAATTTTTTTTGCATGTAATTTTTGACAAAAATCTAAGCAAGAAACTGATTTTCTTGGATTTTTGATAATTTTTCCCAATATTTTTAGAAAAATAAAAACGTACCGAAAATATTTTTTTTATTTTTGGGCCGGTGAGCTTCCCCTAGTGATGTATTGTATAGTGACCAAGAATCCTCGGCTCTGTTAAGTTAATTCGGTTGAGCCTTATCAAATAAATTAATAAACAAAAAAAAAATCCCATACAAATTTCAAACCATTTGCACGACCTCTAAATGTTCATCAATCTCAACCATTTTTTACATAGGCTTATATTTTGGGGTTATGAATCAAACTGTAGTTGATACTCCGTTACTGATCAGTTACCTGTGAAATTGCACAGAGAACCGACACATACTCTTGATTGGTTCGTGCATTCCATAATTAGTCCTAGATCTAGCTATATTGAGAAACGTATGGGTACGAAGGGTACGTCTGCGGATGTTCGCGTTCAGTTGCCTAAGAAGCTCTGTGCAATCGATATTGGATGTTAGTAAGTCTCTGACCAAACAAGCTTTGGCTACATCTCTCCTAACGATCAGTGAATCAAGATGAATCAACCTGCATCGATCAGCATAGCTGGGAAGATCAGTACAGGTGACGTAATGCGAACTTCCGTTGGACGGCTTGAATTCTGTTTATTCCGGTTTTGATAATACGGCGCCCACACCACACCAGAATACTTGAGCGTTGGAAGCACTAAAGCCTTCACATCCTTGAAATGTTTGCCGAATCGGGCTCATGAGAAGTTCAGTAGTTCTCCAGAAGCAATGCAAGAAAAAAAAAATTGCGGGTGGATTTTGACAGATTTGGACCTTTTTTTTTTTTTTTTTTTTTTTTTAACTCTTTATTTGTTCCAAATTTAAAATAAATTACATTTCTTTTTTAACCTAGGTGCTCCAGTTACTACAGTAACTTACCAGCCTTAATTGTTATGATATATATCTAAGTGTTTTTACATTGTTCCTGTCTTGGCAATTCAGTATTTTAAACAGGTTTTTTAAACCTGCATCAGATTTGGACCTATTTCATACGACCGAAAGGCTGCTAAAATACTGGTCACAAATGCCTAACCAAATCAATTTCCTACGTAAGTGATCAATCTTTGATGTGAAATTCACAAAACTTGCCATACAAAATCCTTATAACTAATTAATTTTAGTAAACAAACTTCTTTCTTGTGTGTCACCTTTGTATAAAGTACCTCGGACGCAGGCAACGTCCTCACGGTCTTTGGGGAGGAAAGGATTATTAGGTTTTACTACACACCAAAGTTGAATTCGCTTTCCAGCAATTTGAATTGCTTAATAATGTCCAGCAAAACGATTTTTTACTGGATACCAGCAACGCTTATAGCGAATTCGTTTATTATTCAGTTCCAACCTGGATC